TAAAAGAAAGATTCTTTGATGATTACCAGGGGTGGAAGGGAAGAGAGAGTAATTCACTGGCTAGATACATGTTAACTCGGATGAAGGGGAGGACAATATACTGGAAGAAGGAGGTTGGTAGAAGAATGAAGACAGGTGAAGACACAGGAGGCTATGCAAGGGCTAAAGGGAATAGAGGTAAACAGTGATATATACCCAACCTTGAAACAGCAATGTTCTGAGGGTAGATACATGGACAGAAACATGGGCTGAATGGGTATGAGAGGAAGAGTGATATGTATATATAGAGAGAGCTCTGGTAGCGTAGTGGTTACAAATCGGGCTGTTAACCTCAAGGTTGGCAGTTCGAAACTACCAGCAGTTCTGCAGGAGAAAGATGAGGCGTTCTGCTCCCGTAAAGATTTATAGTCTCGGAAACCCTGTGCAGGGTCACTATGAGTCGGAACCAACTCCACGGTACTTACCAACAACAATATATGTATATGTATATAGAAAGCTGCATAGGAGGCAGATTTGGGGCCTTTCTAGGTCATATAAAGATAGGAGTCTGACTTACTTGACAACAGTCAACAACAACAAAGGATTTAAAACATCATCCTACAGATAATGCGGAGCCATTTTTGATTTTAATCAAAGTAGTGACATAATTGTGTTGGCATTTTTAAGTATGGCAAAAATTGTTGCGTAAACTCTACAAAACAATTTTTAGCCTATTTCAATATGAGCATGGATAGGAAAAGGAGAAGCCAGTGAGGGGAAACTGCAGAACTTTAGAGAGGAGATGGTGGTGGATTGAATTAGCATAGTGGCAGATAAAATGGGGAGGAGTGGATGAATTCAGGTGTAGATTGGAGGTAGAACAGATGGTGGTGGATTGAATTAGCATAGTGGCAGATAAAATGGGGAGGAGTGGATGAATTCAGGTGTAGATTGGAGGTAGAACAGACCAAGTTTAACAAAGTGTGACATGTAGGAGGTGAGAGAGAGGGACATGTAGGAAGGAAGGTTTGGAAGGCAAAGAGATCAGCTTTGCTATTAGATGCAATTCATGTAAGATTAACCATTTTTAGGGGAACAATTCAGTGACATTTAGTACATTCACAATGTTGTGCAACACTGCCTCTACCCAGTTATAAAACATTTCCATTTCTGTAAAGTAAAACCCTTTGCTCATTAAGTCATCATTTCCCATTATACCCTTCTCTAGTCTCTGGAAACCACTACTCTGCATTGTGTTTCTGTGGATTTACCTGTTCTGTAGGTAAATTTACCTATTCTGTGGACTCTTTAAAAGCTTGAGTACAAAATTACATGTGCAGAGGCCCAGGTAAATCAAATCCAGTGTAGAGTCCAGGTAAACTTACCTTGTCTCTTGTAGCCTTCTGTGTCTGACTTCTTTCACTTAGCATAATGTTTTTTGAGATTCCGCCACATTATCATTTGTAGCAGTACATCTTCTGAACATCTCAGTTTCTATCACCTGGCACTATCAGACTATATGCAATGTAATTACTAGGATCATTATAAGCGAAAGAGGGAGGCAGGAGGGCCAGAGAGATTTAAACATGCTACCCGCAGCTTGCTTTGAAGATGGAGGAAGGAGCCACAAGCTAAGGATGAAGTTGGAACAGGGGAAGACATGAATTCTCCCCTATAGGCCCCAGGAAAAGCAACATCAGAAACCCATCCCTGTGGAAACCTTGATTTTTAGACCAGTGAATTGCCTCTGGAACTGCAAGATTATAAATCTGTGTTGTTTAAAACCACTGTTTGTGGTGATTTGTTACAGCAGCAGTAGAAAACGCACACACTACTTAAGGGCTGCCCCCTTTTCTTCAACTGTCTGTTTGCTTTCTATAACCTCCGGGGAAAGGCTCGTGAAAAACCCCAAAAGCAAAAACTCCTTGTTATCAGTCTGGGACTCGGAACTAATTAAATGCTTCAATTAGACAAATATATACGAACATTCCTCCAACGGATGGTCCTTTCCCTGAGCCTTTCCAGAACGTGCGAAAATTCTTATTGGTGGAATTCCAGCCACAATGCTGAAGATGTTTTGGGAAGGATAAAGGTCTTATTAAAATTCTGTCAGAGAAGTGGGAAAGCCCAGATGTGTGTTGTCTTTCGGGGTCATGGGGACCTGGTTTTGTTCAGAACGCTTTGCTCACTCCTTCACAGTAATGTTAATGAAAGAAGTGAGAGATTCCAGCTTTGGTCCCTAACTGGAAGAGGCAAGGATGCTATTATGATAACAGGTATCTTGATTTGTAGGGAATGCCCACCTCTGAACTGTTTGGTATTAGTCAGATTTACGTAGTTAAGGATGGCCTCATATAAGCTTAATTAAAAATACCATTCAGCTACATCTAAAGAGTAAATTTCAGGGCGCAGACTGGCGGGGGCGGTCAGCAGCCAGCAGAGGTCAGACAGGTGGAGGCTCACTGCTTGCAGGTGAACTCCAAAAGCTACGTCCGTGGGGCCTTCTCATTGGCCAATGCTCGGCCCTCCCCACC